TAAAACTTGGTGGCCCCTGGTTTTGGTGGACAATTCTGGTGGGGCCAGGGCTTCCTTGATGGGGAAATGGAGTTGGATGCCTTGGTTCATCCCTCCGCCAGCCCCGCCACCCAAAATCCACCCGACAAAAGAAACAAACAGCGCGCCATCAGGAGCGGCGCGGGCATGTCCGACTGTCGAGGTGGCCTCATGGTCAGAAGCCGACACGCCGGTCTCCCCGAAATCTCTGGGAAACAAAACATATATATATATATACTGCCGCAACGCGGATGTGGTTTCAATGTGGACCATCCAAAAGGCTTTTCGGAGTCAAAACACGTGACAATTCTTCTTGGACCCCGCTAACCGTTTTTGGAGCCGGTCAAACTTTGCTCACCCACTCAAACCTTGCCCACACACACACACACCCCAAGAAACCTCAACTTTTGCAGGCTGCAGGTCTGTTGCGATATCGGCAAGTGAGTCTAAAACGCAACCAAAAGGCAGCGCCTCCGATTGTTTCAGCCTCCCAAAAATGGACATATGAGAATCCCTGAGTGTTGCCCATGGCAAGAGGCAAGAGAACCTTGCCCAGCCTGACCTGGAAAAAGCTGCGACAATCACTTAGTCCAAAGGACCCGAAAAACACATGTAAAAAAAACTTGAGAGGAGGGGCAACGAAAGCTAGATAAGAAGGGGGGCTGGACCTGCCCAAGTGTTCGTAGACGTTTTGGCGACGCAAGTGATTGGAAATGGGCCGAAACGTGAACGCCAATGAAAAAACATTCTCTGGACACTCCATTGAAAGAAAGGCTGTGGCAATCAAACTGCGTGCCAAGTCGAAAAAAATCACTTAGTCCAAAGGACCCGAAGAATAGAGGCAAAAAACAAGCGGGTGCATACTCTAGACTGCTTGCGTGTAGTTACTACCACTGTCCCCACATATACATACATACATTACATTACATTACATTACATTACATTACATTACATTACATTACATTACATTGCATTACATTACATTACATTACATTACATTACATTAGACTACATTACATTACATTACGTTACGCTACGTTACGTTACGTTACCTTACCTTACATTCCATTACATTACATTACATTACATTACATTACATGCATACATACATACATTTCACACATAGATATACATATGCATATACATATAAATATGCAAATACCCAATACAAAGTGGAGGCAGAGCCAAAGGAGCACCTCGGGCAGCGTCACTCTTAGGCCCCAGGCCGGGACCGGTGGCTGAAGCGACCTCCCGACACATTGTCTGCTGAAACACCCCGCCGACCCCATTCCTTTAGGGTGTTGGTGACAAAAATCGCCAGTTCCAGTGATCTAGCTGAAAAAGGGAGGACGGCAAATTGGCATTCCAAGGCTCCGAAATCGGCACATATCTATGATACTCGCAACTTGCAAGCTCAGCTTCCCCCTCCTCATCCGCAAATGGGGGCTTCTCGACTCAAACGTCTGTCAGGGGTACCATTAAACGGCCCCTCCGAGAAAAGAGGGGTTCTGTCAAAGGTCACATGAACCGCCTAAATCTGGGCAGCGTTGCTCCGAAATGGCACAAGGGTGGAAAAATCCATTCCTGCAGACACAAACGGACACCTAAGCCACTGTCTCCCCTTAAGCTCTTGTCATACTTAAAGGCCCTGAGCATTGTAATGACCCTTTTCCTCTCGGTGAGCCTGGTCCGTGCAGAATCAGCAGCCATTCTTCAGGGGAGTTAGAGTCGAATCGAGTCAAGAAACCATGTGCTCCTGACAGCACGTTGGTGAGCGCGCCCGAGCGCTGCATTGCTTGAATCAAGATCAAATTGATTCTAATCGCAGTCATGCAGGAATCTGGAAAATGGCCATGTGCTTGCTGAAAGTCTGAAGGCCGAAGCCACAGCTTGGTACCTCTGTTGGCTCTTTGGCAAGCGCACTGACGAGTGGTCGCTGAGAGCAACGAGTGCTCGCCTTTCTCGGTGCCCAATACAAATGGTCCAGTGAAATGGATCCAACGCCGGGCTCACCCCTGTCACAACGGGTCAAGCAATGCACCAGGTCCCACATAAGAGATTGCACGCAAAAAAAAATCAGGGGCCGCACCTGCTAAAGCTCGGGTTCCTTTTTGGTGCCCTGAAAAAGGACCGGTCTGGTCTCTTCCAAGGGCCTCAACTTGCGGCCGAAATGACTTAAGCAGTTGGAGTCGACAGGTACTCTGTGCCTGGACGTTGGGTTGATTTTAAGCAGGGCTGTGGGAAGTGACCACTTCCGTGATACAACAGAAAGGGCTTCCCAAAGACTAACCCCCTATATAAGGGGAAATTCCCTTGTATCACAGAAGTGGGGATAAACCCCCTGAACTTAAGGGGAACCCCTCCAATGAAAAGGACAAAAAGGAAGCCACCCTGACCCCTGGAAGCATCGAGTCAGCTTCGGGGCCTGGGCTGATGGGCGCCTGGTCGACGCCGGAAAGACTTGTTTTGCTGGGCTCAAGGTCGAGTGAACGGGGAAAAATGAAAGGGCAACGAATACAAGCAAACAAAAAAGAGGGAACAAATGGCCAACTGGAAAAAACGGGAGGCTCAAATGCAAACGAAAGGCTAATGAATCTCCGGTGTGAAAACAAGGAAGCACCTTGGGCACCCAAAGTCCAGAGTGCTTTTCAAAAAAACTCTCGCAAAGGTGTGTCAAAACCTCTCCTGCCGTGGGATGAGAATCAGAGACGGAAATCTCAATGTGTGTTGCCCGCTTGGACTGCTAGGCTTGACGTGCCTTGGCGCAGAGATGCTCAGCGCCCGAATCTGTCAAGCTTGTGGCCATCCGCTAGCAGGCAAGGACTCTCCGACACGAACCAAGAAAACAAGTGAGGGGGCGTTTGATCACAACTCCAAAACTTCCTTCATTCGCCAACCTAAGAAGAAAACAACCAAGCAAACCGGAACCAGAAGGAATTCATTGCGACCGTCATCGATTACAAGGTCAACTTCGGACTACATAAGCATGATCGTAATCAGTATGAATCTGTAGAATGGACCAATTGGGGGGAACAATTCTAATTCTTCCTCCTCCTTCTCTTCCTCCTGATTTCCCGATACTCCAATCAAACATCACCCCCTTATCGGGCACTCAAGGAAAGCCTTTCGGACCCTACACAAGTGATCCCCAAAATGTCGGCTCCAGGGCCCAGTCCTTGGGCACGCTCAGCTTGGAGATCTCTGCCAGCTTGGGATACCTCAGAAAGGGCCCCATGGAACCGACGCATTTGGGTATACTGTAAATCTCAATTGGGGACCCCTTGGTGGATATCATTTACATGGGCTTTGTGTCCACCAACCATTCTTGGAGGTGCAAAGGTCGCGTTTGTACCTTGTTTCCAGGCCGCGGAACCCATTCCTTCAGAATGGACGGTTTCCCTTCGCCGACACTCGCTCGGATTTTTTTTTCGGCTGAAACCAAACCTGCGGACAACTGCTCTACTGCCCCCTTTTTCGGATCCCTTTGGTCTCCCCTTGGTTTCCCTCCAGAAAAGGCCATCAAAAAGCCCAGCCCAAGTCATGGGTGATCGGGAGTGGGGACAAGTTCGGCACAGGATTCCTACAGTACATGTTGAGGGAGAAATGATTTACCCTCCCAGCAAGTAACATGGAACCTGACAGGGGGGTCCCATTGAAACGAAAATGGTCTTCAAGGACCCCCCCTGTCAGGTTCCATGTTACTTGCTGGCACTAAGGTACTTTCAGTTCCCCCCCAAGTGCTGACATCAAATTGCGTATCAGATTCGCAAAAGGATGCTCCAGATGATCATGAAGGTCCACCAGTGAGGTTGAAATCAAATGCGCAAAAACCGCGACCTTATGCGCCACCAAAAGGGCTACAAAAAAGCAACAAACTAAAAGGATTGTCTTGCAACCATATACAAATACTGACCACCAAAGGCAACGCATGCTTGTCAGCTTCCATTTTGACCTGTTGGTTGGTCTGAGACCCTGGCTGCGGGGCGGTGGCGGCGCTTCTCTGAGAAGAGGGGGGCGCCTCAGGCGGATCCGGGGAGTGACAGGGGTTCTAGTGTCTTCCAAAAAAGCATGGGATCTAGAGACTCGGAGACAGCCAAATGGCGGGGGGATCCCTTGGTGTCCTACCCAAGATCCACGTTGCCACGCATGGCCCAAGGTTCGACGAGACAATAGTCCAAACCAAGAGCCCCAGGCAAAAAAACAACACCTGGCCGACCTGTTGATTTTTGGCCGCATGGAGACCGCCCTTCAAGTGAACGTGAGGGGGCGTTAGAATGTGGGGAACCAGTGTCAGTAATTCTCAAGTTGTATCACTTTCAGAGAAATCCAGAAAAGCCACAGGTACCTGCCATCAGCGTCGCAAATGTTCATGACACATGCTCAGGGTCTGCTCAAAATAAATCAGCTGAGCCCGGAGCAGAATTTGAAAATTTGTAGAAGCACATCGATTCAGAAAGATCTTACAAAAAAGAGTCCTAGATAATTCATCCTCGATTGAGAGGGTACTGTCCAAGGCGGCTTATCTGTAAAAACTGGCCATCTCAATCATTTCTTCCAAGAGGACTTCCAAGGGCACAACTCGCCTGATCCACATACCGAAAGTACTCACTGCATTAATCAGAAGGCTATCACCAAGGGGGGCTTAAGCAGTGACTCGAGCAACGCTCAAGATCCCTTTTCGTTGCAAACATTGGGCGGTGGCAAGACACATCGGTCAGATGGAAACTCACGCTGCAAATTGTGAGTTGCAACCGGCTATGCTAATTCCACAATGTTGTTGTGCAAAGCAATGCCCAGCATCTCAAAGGCATAGCCACGCCCTTCGGGCAGGCCACACCGAGCCCAATGCATCCAAAATTGAGAAAGGGAAGGGCGGATTTTCGCAGAGCCTGGACCAAAAATCAAGGAGTTCGAGACCAAGTCTGCGCGGCCCTTCTCTTTGACCCTCACAGCTCCAGCAGGTGCGATGCCTCTGATGCCGCTCAAGCCTTCTGAACCGCCCCCACCACCACAGGCGGCGACCCGGACGGCTCGTCCGTCTTGGCTTTGCAGCAGCCACAGCACACGCAGCAACCCAGCGAGGCGGCCACAATGCCCAGGATGACGGTGGCCCAGCCGAAGGCTCCAATGTACACGACGAAGATGCCCAGCGCGTTGCAAAGACTTCCCATGCCATCCTTCTCTTCTTGCGTGCACTCGTAGCCACTGCAGCGCTCCTGGCAAATGGCATCCACAAAGGGCACGCAAGCGCCCATGGAGCCAAAGGCGGGAACCAGCAGGGAGACAATGCCAAGCACGATGGCCACGGTGGCAATGATCTTGCCATACTGCTTCAACACCCCGCAGCACAGCGGCAAGGAAGCCAAGATCACCATGACCAAGGCAATCGCCATGCCACCAAAGGAGCCGCCATACAGGGACACAGTGAAGGCTGTTTGATCGAACTCGCCACTGTTAGTGCAGGCCCAGGCAGAGGCACAGCTGGCCGCCAACAGCAAGGCTCGGGGCGACATGGCTTCCACAATGTGACTCGGCTGCCAAAGGTGAGGGCCAAAAATGCTGACATATGCTGACATGCCACTCTGCCATGCCACTCTGCCTGTGATTCCAGCGAAAACCCCAATTCCAATATTTGGGGCTCCACGCTGACCAAGCTATCCTGATTCCCAACCTTTTGCTTCTCCGTTCCCTTTCAAAAACAAAAGAGGCTACCAACTCCAAACAACATTTTCCCGGGATTTGGTACCCCGTCTGGTTTCTGACCTCGGCCGCCCGGACGCTCCCGGTCCTCTGCCGCGCCGACTGGCTCCAGGACGTGCCGCCTGCGCGAAAGAAAGGGAGGAAGAAAAATACGGACCGGGTTTGCACATGGGGCTGCGATTTGGGTGTACATAGCACTTGCAAGGCACCATGAACCTCAACAAGGGAGTCTCCCAAAAGGAGTTTCCTCTCTGGGGTCCATGGTGATACTGCCCCAAAACCAAAACAACCCTGAAACGACCCTGCGCACATCAATCCACTTGAACTAAGTCAAAACCAGCCAACAAAGGGTCTCAAATACATGAAGATACAGATGCGTAGCTCCCGAAACCATCGCGGAACCATAAAATGTATTTGTTCATAAGTATACTATAGATAGGATAAAATAGTTCAATGGTATTGATAATAATAAACAGAAGAATACACATACGTGCATATATCTAGGTATACGTAACGTATATACACAACATTTACCAGCACACACACGCACGTGGCCCTGTGAGGCGATAAAAGACCTGTTTTACAGCAGTTGCTAACAACATGCACCTGTTTCATGCCAGCACAGTCAACATCCCCAGCGTTGCTTTCAACACCCGGCATAGCCTGGGCGAAGGGTTCAAGGATTGTTTGGGCTTGGGTTTGTTTAGGGTGGGTTTGCGGTTGGTAGGGAAGGTTTAGTGTTGGTTTAGCGCTGGTTCAGGGTGGGCTTAGGTGGGTTTGTGGTGGGTTTGTGGTGGGTTTATGGTCGGGTTAGGGTTGGCCTGGGGTAGGTTCAGGGCGGGTTTAGGGGAGGTTTAGGCATGCCTGGTTTAGGGTTAGCTTAGGGCTGGTTAGGGTGGGTTTAGGGTTGTCGCTGGCGATGTAGCGTCGCTCGCACCTGGCGCTTGAAATGGAACACGGGGGGGGGTCCTGGTTGGGTGCAACTTTGTATGAGGAGGGGAAAAGATTTGGTGAAGTTTTGATTTGGCAGTGGCTTAGACTGGTTTAAGGCAGTTTGGCGCTGGTTTAAAAGCCGGTTTATTGTGGCCTGGTTTAGGCTGGTTTGGGGTTGGTTGGGGGTTGGTTGAGGGTTGGTGGAGGGTGGGTTTAGGGTTGGTATAGGTTCTTTAACGGGTGATAGGATGGGTTTAGGGTTTCTTGGGGGTAGTATAGGGCTGGCTTAGAGGTGGGCTTAAGGTTTCTCTAGTTTAGCGTGGGTTTATGGTGGGTTTAGTTGGTTTGAGCTGGATTTAGTACGCGCCGGGTACATAGTCACCCGCGCGTTTTTGTTCGCATGTCCTCCAAGCTCATGCGTCTATTCTCAGGCAGTTTGACAAGTATGCATGTGTCTGGGGTTGTGAGACATCCCGGTAACTACCTCGGGCCAGCTGAATCTCAGGTCGACATGTGCAGTTTTGGACCAAGGCAGCACACATGGCAATTAGCGGGTGTGCTTATGATGTGCCAGCGTGCGTGCAGCTCTGACATGATGCGCGTGAGCGTGAGCGGGCGTGCAGGGGTGGAAGCCACTCGGACATGCAGGTGGGTAAAGACCCAGTACTATTTACCAGGGCTGGTTTAGGATTGGTACAGGGCTTGCTTAGGGTGCATTTGATTTTTGGTGCTTCTGAGGGTTGCTGATGATGCTAAGGATGTGGAAAGCCAAAAGCGCGCAAAAAGACACAAAAGCCAAGAAAGTACCGACCGACCGACGACCGCGGACCCTGCCCACGACCTGGCCCGCCAAACCCAGGAAAAAAGAACTGGGGGCCCAAAAAAGGACACATCTCGAGCTCCCCGTTCTGGATGTGTCGTCTTGTGCAATCGGTCTAAGAACCCTTCCAATCAAATGATCCCTACCTTCCAAATCGCATTACCAAGCTACGCGGATAAAATTCCATTGCCGCCGGCCAAAGACTTCTCCATCCATGAAAATCCCCATGGCATGTCAACTGAAAACGCTTCTGACTCAAGGAACGAGCCTGGCCACCCAAAGCAGGCGCCCAGTTTAGGGCATTTTGTCCTTGCATCGAAACCAGTAGCCCTGGAAACGGCTTTGGTGTCTCGCCGGTCTCCTGAAAACCTGTTTTCGTTTTCGACCGCCTGGTGTTGCTTGCCCCCCCAAAACCAACAGGTCGAAAATCCGCTGAGGGTTGGCAAAAATCCCGATCCCGCCCCCCGTTTCCCCCCTAACTCCTTTCAAACATAGCAAGCAGTCCGTGATCATGTGGCCTCAGGGCAACGACCCGATGCCAAGCCCGTTTTTGGGCATGGCTGTTCACACGCAAGATCCAGGAAGGGCGGTTGCATTATCCTGGGGCTGTACCCTAATGGCGCCAAACGATACAAAACATATAGAGCCTTGTGTAGCTGCTACCAAAGAATGACACTGGAAGCCAAGGACACTACGGAGGTTCAGCGCCTCCTGACCACAGCCAATCCATCGCCATGCTGACCTCAGACATCGGCAGATAGAGCCGTTCCCGGCAATTTTTCACGGAAGGAACCAGCTCCCCCACGGGAGTGTCCTGCAGGTTGTCATTTGCAGCGGGCGGTTCTGTTGCCGCACTTTCAGTCAGTCGTAATCATCCATCCCAACAGTACACCAGTGACAGAGCTTGCCCAAGTACGGCATGCAATGTTGCAGCATGACAAGAGGGAATATCGGTGATGCAGGTGATGCTGCTGTATCATTGCGAATGGAAACGTAGGCCGAACCCATGGGTGAAAACCAGCCCAAGATTAGCTTGCCGCCCTAAAGAGAACCTTTGCAGCCCTTCCAAAGAAGAACAATTCGGGAGCCCCCTCCAAAAGCAAAAACCGGCTAGAAAGGCCCGAGGAAAGCAAAACAAATCGCACAACGCACTCCTTCTTGCTTGATATCCCATGGGAAGCCAAGGGAAGCCGGCTTGCTGCGTTCTACCCAGGCCTCCAGGGACAAAAAGGCCCGGCTAGTTGTTGCAAATGTCCTTGGGTCATCAACAAACCAAAAACAACAACTCCGAACTGTGGCTGTCTTCGGGCATCCGTTTCCTCGCCCAATCAAGCACAAGTCCAATTGAGGTTGTCTTTGGATGCAAAAAACGAAGCCTGAAACGCGTCAACCCCCACAAAAAAACCAACTAAAACTACACAAACCCACACAAACAAGACCACAAACCAAAACACAGCACCGACCCCTTAACCTTCTGGGCTTCCTGGCCACGCTGGGCTGCGCCGCCTCGGCTGCCCGGCGCTCCTGAGCAAGCCGAGCCCGTGGTGTGAGACGACTTGACAATACATTTGATTCTTCTACTTCTTCCTGTTCTTGCCCACTAGTTTGGAATGAAATACATTCGTGGGGGGTGGAGAAACTGGAGAAACCAAGTTGGAGCCCGGAACTTTCGCGTCGAAATGCCGACAGGTCCCTATGAAACTGTTGCCAGTTGCAGGGTCCAAACCATTGCTCATAGGTTGTACGGCAGGGGTTGGGGTGCCCTTGTCGGGCAGCGTGAGCACTTGGAAGGCCAGCACCAGAGCCAAATGGGCATGTGTCACCACATAGTCACCCCCGAAATGGCACTTCAACCTGAGAACCAAAACGCAACCAACTAATTTATATATATATATATACACATACATACATACATACATACATACATGCATACATACATACATACATACATACATTACATTACATTACATTACATTACATTACATTACATTACATTACATTACATTACATTACATTACATTACATTACATACATTACATACATACATACATACATACATACATACATACATACATACATACATTACATACATACATACATACATACATACATACATACATACATACATACATACATACATACATACATACATACATACATACATACATACATACATACATACATACATACATACATACATACATACATACATACATACATACATACATACATACATACATACATACATACATACATACATACATACATACATACATACATACATACATACATACATACATACATACATACATACATACATACATACATACATACATACATACATACATACATACATACATACATACATACATACATACATACATACATACATACATACATTACATACATACATACACACATACATTGCATACATACATACATACATACATACATACATACATACATACATACATACATACATACATACATACATACATACATACATACATACATACATACATTACATACATACATAATTACATTACATTACATTACATTACATTACATTACATTACATTACATTACATTACATTACATTACATTCATTACATTACCATAAATACATACAAACATACATACATACATACATACATTACATTACATACATACATACATACATACATACATACATACATACATACATACATACATACATACATACATACATACATACATACATACATACATTACATTACATTACATCACATCACATCACATCACATCACATCACATCACATTACATTACATACATACATACATACATTACATACATACATACATACATACATACATACATACATACATACATACATACATACATACATACATACATACATACATACATACATACATACATACATACATACATACATACATACATACACATACATACATACATACATACATACATACATACATACATACATACATACATACATACATACATACATACATACATACATACATACATACATACATACATACATACATACATACATACATACATACATACATACATACATACATACATACATACATACATACATACATACATACATACATACATACATACATACATACATACATACATACATACATACATACATACATACATACATACATACATACATACATACATACATACATACATACATACATACATACATACATACATACATACATACATACATACATACATACATACATACATACATACATACATACATACATACATACATACATACATACATACATACATACATACATACATACATACATACATACATACATACATACATACATACATACATACATACATACATACATACATACATACATACATACATACATACATACATACATACATACATACATACATACATACATACATACATACATACATACATACATACATACATACATACATACATACATACATACATACATACATACATACATACATACATTACATACATACATACATACATACATTACATTACATTACATTACATTACATTACATACATTACATTACATTACATTACATTACATTACATTACATTACATTACATTACATTACATTACATTACATTACATTACATACATTACATTACATTACATTACATTACATTACATTACATTACATTACATTATTTACATTACATTACATTACATTACATTACATTACATTACATTACATTACATCACATTACATTACATACATTACATACATACATACATTACATACATACATACATACATACATACATACATACATACATACATACATACATACATTACATACATACATACATACATACATACATACATACATACATACATACATACATACATACATACATACATACATACATTACATTACATTACATACATTACATTACATACATACATACATACATACATACATACATACATACATACATACATACATACATACATACATACATACATTACATAATTACATTACATTACATTACATTACATTACATTACATTACATTACATTACATTACATTACATTACATTACATTACATTACATTACATTACATTACATTACATACATACATACATACATACATTACATACATACATACATACATACATACATACATACATACATACATACATACATACATACATTACATTCATTACATTAATACATACATTACATTACATTACATTACATTACATTACATTACATTACATTACATTACATTACATTACATTACATTACATTACATTACATTACATTACATTACATTACATTACATTACATTACATTACATTACATACATACATACATACATTACATACATACATACATACATACATACATACATACATACATACATACATACATACATACATACATACATACATACATACATACATACATACATACATACATACATACATACATACATACATACATACATACATACATACATACATACATACATACATACATACATACATACATACATACATACATACATACATACATACATACATACATACATACATACATACATACATACATACATACATACATACATACATACATACATACATACATACATACATACATACATACATACATACATACATACATACATACATACATACATACATACATACATACATACATACATACATACATACATACATACATACATACATACATACATACATACATACATACATACATACATACATACATACATACATACATACATACATACATACATACATACATACATACATACATACATTACATACATACATACATACATACATACATACATACATACATACATACATACATTACATTACATACACATACATACATACATTACATTACATACATACATACATTACATTACATTACATACATACATACATACATTACATTACATTACATTACATTACATTACATTACATTACATTACATTACATTACATTACACATTACATTACATTACATTACATTACATACATACATACATACATACATACATTACATACATACATACATACATACATACATACATACATACATACATACATACATACATTACATACATACATACATACATACATACATACATACATACATACATTACATACATACATACATTACATACATACATACATACATACATACATACATACATACATACATACATACATACATACATTACATACATACATACATACATACATACATACATACATACATACATACATACATACATACATACATACATACATACATACATACATACATACATACATACATACATACATACATACATACATACATACATACATACATACATACATACATACATACATACATACATACATACATACATACATACATACATACATACATACATACATACATACATACATACATACATACATACATACATACATACATACATTACATACATTACATACATACATACATACATACATACATGCATACACATGCCATGGCTCAGATGAGCACCCTGCGCAAATCTATCCATGGTCAATGGTTGAGAATGACTGGGGCTTACCCCAACAGAATAGGAGTCTAACATGCTGCTTACCCCGATTCAGCGAGCAGGTCTTTTGCTCCTGGCATGTATGGCTATGAGTTCTAAACCCATTACTTTTAGGCGGTGTGTCCTTTAAACGACCATTTCGAGTGTATGCTTAATCCAGTTCACAACAAGACACAAACTCCCCAAAGGATACATCCGAAAACCACCTGCTCCAACTGCAGATGTTTCCACGAAAGAGGACAACCCATTGAATCTCACAAAATATACACAATGGAAAATAGCCAAAGCCAAAACCGCTGAGGGACCCTGAAAAAGAGGGGCCCATGTAAAATATCGCAAAGCCAGAAACCAGAGATAAGAAGCACGAGACAGAATACAACACAAACCCTGAGAGGGCGCCTCCAAAACAAAACAAACAAAAAGCAAAACAAAAAGCAAAACAAAAAGCAAAACAAAAAGCAAAACAAAAAGCAAAACAAAAAAGCAAAACAAAAAAGCAAAAAAAAAGCAACAAAAAAGCAAAACAAAAAAGCAAAACAAAAAAACACAACAAAAAAGCAACACAAAAAGCAACAAAAAAGCAACAACAAAAAGCAACAAAAAAGCAACAAAAAAGCAACAAAAAAGCAACAAAAAGGCAACAAAAAAGCAACAAAAAAGCAACAAAAAAGCAACAAAAAAGCAACAACAAAGCAACAACAAAGCAACAACAAAGCAACAAAAAAGCAAAACAAAAAAGCAAAACAAAAAAGCAAAACAAAAAAGCAAAACAAAAAAGCAAAACAAAAAAGCAAAACAAAAAAGCAAAACAAAAAAGCAAAACACAAAAAAGCAAAACAAAAAAGCAAAACAAAAAAGCAAAACAAAAAAGCAAAACAAAAAAGCAAAACAAAAAAGCAAAACAAAAAAGCAAAACAAAAAAGCAAAACAAAAAAGCAAAACAAAAAAGCAAAACAAAAAGCAAAACAAAAAGCAAAACAAAAAAGCAACAAAAAAGCAACAAAAAAGCAACAAAAAAGCAACAAAAAAGCAACAAAAAAGCAAAACAAAAAAGCAAAACAAAAAAGCAAAACAAAAAAACACAACAAAAAAGCAAGACAAAAAAGCAACAAAAAAGCAACAAAAAAGCAAAACAAAAAAGCAAAAAAAAAAAAGAAACAAAAAAGCAAAACAAAAAAGCAAAACAAAAAAGCAAAACAAAAAAGCAACACAAAAAGCAACAAAAAAGCAACAAAAAAGCAACAAAAAAATCAACACAAAAAGCAACACAAAAAGCAACAAAAAAGCAAAACAAAAAAAGAGCAACAAAAAAGCAACAAAAAGGCAAAACAAAAAAGCAAAACAAAAAAGCAAAGCAAAAAAGCAAAGCAAAAAAGCAAAACAAAAAAGCAAAACAAAAAAGCAAAACACAAAAAAGCAAAACACAAAAAGAAACAAAACAGCAACAAAAATGCAAAACAAAAAAGCAAAACAAAAAAGCAAAACAAAAAAGCAACAAAAACGCAAAACAAAAAAGCAACAAAAAAGCAAAACAAAAAATAAAAACAAAAAAGCAAAACAAAAAAGCAACACAAAAGCAACAAACAAGCAACAAAAAAGCAAACAAAAAGGCAAAACAAAAAGCAAAACAAAAAGCAAAACAAAAAGCAAAACAAAAAGCATAACAAAAAAGCAAAACAAAAAAGCAAAGCAAAAAAGCAAAACAAAAAAGCAAAACAAAAAAGCAAAACAAAAAAGCAAAACAAAAAAGCAAAACAAAAAAGCAAAAAAAAAAGAAACAAAAAAGCAAAACAAAAAAAAGCAAAACAAAAAAAGAGCAACAAAACAGCAGCAAAAAAGCAAAACAAACAAGCAAAACAAAAAAGCAACACAAAAAAGCAAAACAAAAAAGCAACACAAAAAAGCAACAAAAAAAGAAACAAAAAAGCAAGACAAAAAAGCAAAACAAAAAAGCAAAACAAAAAAGCAAAACAAAAAAGCAACAAAAAAGCAACAAAAAAGCAAAACAAAAAAGCAACAAAAAAGCAACAAAAAAGCAAAACAAAAAAAGCAAAACAAACAAGCAACAAAAAAGCAACAAAAATGCAAAACAAAAAAAGCAAAACAAAAAAGCAAAACAAAAAAAGCAAAACAAAAAAGCAACAAAAAAGCAAAACAAAAAAGCAAAACAAAAAAGCAAAACAAAAAAGCAAAACAAAAAAGCAACAAAAAAGCAACAAAAAAGCAAACAAAAAAGCAAAACAAAAAAGCAACAAAAAGGCAACAAAAAAGCAACAAAAAAGCAACAACAAAGCAACAACAAAGCAAAACAAAAAAGCAAAACAAAAAAGCAACAAAAAAGCAAAACAAAAAAAGCAAAACAAAAAGCAAAACAAAAAGCAAAACAAAAAGCAAAACAAAAAAGCAAAACAAAAAAGCAAAAAAAAAGCAACAAAAAAGCAAAACAAAAAAGCAAAACAAAAAAACACAACAAAAAAGCAACACAAAAAGCAACAAAAAAGCAAAACAAAAAAGCAAAAAAAAGCAAAAAAAAGCAAAACAAAAAAAGCAAAACAAAAAGCAAAACAAAAAAGCAAAACAAAAAAGCAAAACAAAAAAGCAACAAAAAAAAGCAAAACAAAAAAGCAAAACAAAAAAACACAACAAAAAAGCAACACAAAAAGCAACAAAAAAGCAACAACAAAAAGCAACAAAAAAGCAACAAAAAAGCAACAAAAAAGCAACAAAAAGGCAACAAAAAAGCAACAAAAAAGCAACAAAAAAGCAACAAAAAAGCAACAACAAAGCAACAACAAAGCAACAACAAAGCAAAACAAAAAAGCAAAACAAAAAAGCAAAACAAAAAAGCAAAACAAAAAAGCAAAACAAAAAAGCAAAACAAAAAAGCAAAACAAAAAAGCAAAAAAAAAAGAAACAAAAAAGCAAAACAAAAAAAAGCAAAACAAAAAAGCAAAACAAAGAAACACAACAAAAAAGCAAGACAAAAAAGCAAAACAAACAAGCAACAAAAAAGCAACAAAAATGCAAAACAAAAAAAGCAAAACAAAAAAGCAAAACAAAAAAAGCAAAACAAAAAAGCAACAAAAAAGCAAAACAAAAAAGCAAAACAAAAAAGCAAAACAAAAAAGCAAAACAAAAAAGCAAAACAAAAAAGCAACAAAAAAGCAACAAAAAAGCAAACAAAAAAGCAAAACAAAAAAGCAAAACAAAAAGCAAAACAAAAAGCAAAACAAAAAGCATAACAAAAAGCAAAACAAAAAGCAAAACAAAAAGCAAAACCAAAAGCAAAACCAAAAACAAACAGAGACGAGCTGACCTCACCCCCAAGGCTCCGGGCCCTGAGTGCCTCCGCCAGCCCCAGCCGCGAATCCGCGCGCACTGAGCAGAGCGCGCAGGAGTCGAAATTCGGCGCATCGGACAAGGCGCGCGGCTACGGGCGGTGGGCGAAATCCCACTTCGCGCTAGTTGGTAGATGGTCTACCCCAAAACGTTTTAGTCTTTTCTCCAGAACCGGAACCAGTCAGAAGATGCATTGACCCCAGTATTGAAACAGTGCTTTATCCAGAATTGGTGCAGGATGCCCATCCACACTATGAGGGCCTAAAGAATTAGAGTGGGGTGGTGGGGTACTTGAACCAGCAAAGCGAGTCAAATTTAATTTGGAGAAGCCCTGGGTGGGTCCCTAGAACTGTCCACCAAGCCAACCAAACACCAAAAATGGCTGCGCCGCTAAAGCGGCCTTCCCAAAAGTAGAAAGTCCAGGAGCTGAGGCGACTTAGGGAGAAAGTTTTGCAAAGGTGAAAGTGGGTCACTCCCAAAATCCCCGAGAATTGAATTAGTCTGACAGTCACTGGACCCCAGAAATCGCCAATAGCCAATAGAACTAAGGCCAAGATCGCCCAAACAGGCGATGCCTCCAACCCGACCAAAACCATATGATTGATTCTGGTCCATATTCAGTGCACCTTGATCATAAGAGAGATCCAAGCGTTCGGATAAAGCGGACCCATTCTCAAGGCTCCTTCCAGTACTCTTTAGGGGAGGCCCAGGTGAGTTTGGCATGAGAGCGTGGAGCAAACCACGGTGATGGTACAAAACATGCATGTTGCATTGGATTGTGCCAGGAGTATGGAGCGAGTCAGAAGTTTCTTAACTAGAGTAGCAAACGGAGACGCGCCAGTGGCCGTCCAGGAAAAACACATGTTTCGAAACAAACGTTGCCTGGACCAAAACACAGGTTTAGAAACAAACGTTTCGGCGGACACAACAAACCTTCCTCCGAAACTTGAGTCTGCGTGCAATGAAACAAACTCACAGCCCGAGTTCACGAAAGGATTGTTTTCAGCCCTGAAAGAATAGTTTGTCCGGAAAGTATGTTTTGGTTGCGAAATTGACCTTCTACTCGTGAGTTTCCTTTCAGAGTTTCCCAGAAAACAAACAAACTAAACTCTGCGATGAAACGTTTGTTTTTCCAAGTTTCCAAAGCAGCCATTCTAGGGTTTCGACAAGTTTCCCATGGCAAAACAAACGTTCACAGGAAGAATGTGTTTTTGAGACAGAAACAAACCTTTCACACGGAAAACGTTTGCTCCTCTATTGGAAATCAACGTGTCCGCACATGCGACAGAAGAATATAAACATGAGGTCGGAAGAAACGTTTGTTTTGTCCAGAGAAGCAAAGGCCCGTAGACGGCATTAAGTTTGTTTGTCCTGGCGAAACAAACGTTAGGCCAAGCCAATTGTTAGTTTTCTCAAAACTAATTAACTAGTGACTTGCTCCCATGTGTGTGCCAGGGGGGTTCTTGGCCAAACCCGAATGTTTTGGGGACCAGTTTGGCATACCTCACTACTGGGGAATTCCATGCAATTGTCCGATAAAATAGTTGTAAAAGAAGGACCACCCTGCCTTCCGTTAACATGAATGACGACATTTTGGAGAGACAATGTTCTCCCAAGTAGATACAACAAGGGAGTGGAGGGTGTTGTGTCAAATCCTTCCCAGTGAACGTGTTGGAGCGGTCCGGCTGTGCTCTTTTCTGTTTTGACTGGCGTCTCTTTGTTCTCACCATCCTGAGGAATCTGTGGATCATCACATGGAAGGATCCCCATCCCATTCCAACAAGTTTCTTTCACACGAATGCCCCTTGTCTCAATTTGCCGGGGAAACACTCGATAGCACAACCATCACAAAGGCTTAGACACTACAAGTAAGCCCTGGTTGATGCCACATGGATAGGTGACATTGATGTCCCCTTTTGACAATGTGCTTTTGTTTGAGACAACCAAACACAAATAGTGATTTCCGCACTCATCCACGAGGCGGCCGGAAATCAATCCAAAAGATAAGCAAGGTCGTTGCGCTTTGTGCCCGGCTTTTGCTCAGGGTAGACACTTGGGTTGACAAAATGAGCTCGACACTTTAACCCAATCGAAGACCCCTTGCGTGGCCTGTCCCACACTCCCTGCTAAATAACCCATTTCTGTCTCAAGCCCTCAAGTGCCGCGCCAGACTTCTGGCGATCGATGTGCTCCTGCAAACCGCTTTGAAGGTCGCACATGATGCATCAACCCTGGTATGCCACACAGGTTGATGATGGGTTTCTAGAACAAGAAGTGCCCAAATTGTTGCAACGACAGGCAGGGGGAGACTGCTACTTTGGTAAGGGTGATTTTGAGCTTGTCTCCGAGCTGCGGGAAACACAAAACATGCGAAACAGCACCAACCGCTCCCAACGTGTTGAACTTTGTGTGAGAACAGCGGGTGTTGTTTGTCAAATCAACCAGTGTCACAGCATCGTGGCAGAATCACCGCTGACGTATGTGGGTTTACCAGAAGAAGCGAACATGACTTGCTTGCTCAAATGCCAAGCAAGATCTTCTGAGAAGTGTGACAAGATGCTGTCCAGTGACTCCAGTCAAAACCTTAACACTCTTGGTACGGTTGGGGCGACCATCTCCGTTGCCTGCACGAGTCCATGGGTCCCTCGCCAGGTGTACCCCCCCCCCCCAAAAAAAAGTAGAATAAGATGAGTAGCGCCCAAAACCTTTGACTCTTGGTTCTCATGCTGATAGAAAGGCCTAGTCCTTTCTATAGCGCTCCTAAAACCATGATAGAACAACCTACTAACATGGCTAATAGGAGGTTTGGCGCTTCACGATTGGACTGCAGGGTACTTTGAACCACAAACAGTCATGAGTCATAAGGATAGGAGTAAACTATTAGTTTCCAGTTAGCCCCTTATAGTTCCGTCAAAAAGAAGGTGTCCAAGCAAAATCATCTCCACACGCACGCCATTCTGGCTGGTTTGTCAGAATGAGCAAGATATTTGTGCTATATCTTCCATGGCGCTGGAGCCCCCACTTCAGCGTCTTCAGCTAAAAATTCGCAACTTTGCTGCGTGCGGCCAGCTACAGGGCTGGACCTTCCATCTGTAGCTTGCTGGAAAACAGGTGTCTTTTTCTCCTGCAAAGGCTACTCTTTGGGGGCGACAATGGACACCAAGGACATGTGTCAAGAAGTCAAAAAGGGACCCACCTACCAGCACCCGCCCCCCTCTCCCATCCAAGAAAACTGGGCACCTCGGATCTATTTTGCAGCCACCTTGAAAGACATTTGGGGTTGTAGGGCTTGGGCCGGCAAAACCATGGCGCCCACCCACCCCCAGTTGGATAACCTGTGTCATGAGTCCGCTGAGTGGGAGTTGTCCCAAATTGCTACCACGACGGGCTAAATAGCTACGCGTGTCAATGTCCTATGCTTGCACGCAAGTTTGGTGTTCAAGGACCACAGCCCTGTACTGCCCACTTAAGGGATCACACCAAGGTGAAAGTAGTCAGAATGCGGGTGGTACTCAAAGACCAAATTCAGTCATGATAGTAAACTATTCAAATTAATTCTTGAGCCCTCCCCCCCAAAAAAGATGGGTGTGCAACACAGACCCAAAAAAGGTGGGGCTGCCCCCCTTGGCTCCCAAGCACCCCGCCTCCGTCGGCGGTGGCGGCAGATTCACCGGCACCGGCGACTTCAGCTCCGGGGTGTTGGGGGGCGCCGAAACCGCCAGGTCCGCGGGCGGTTTGGCGCCGGGTTTGTCGCGGAGGCTGACGTACCTGTTGGCCGAGAGGCAAAGTTGGCTAAGGCGGCACGGCAAAGGTCAGACTGGATTTTGGACGAGGGATGAAAGTCAGCGGCTTTGTTTCATGATGTTGGCATAGGCAACAGGTCAGCAACCGGTGAATGCTGTTGAAGGTGAACCTGACGATGGAAAACTACTCCCCTGCTGCCCCTGTCACTTCCCTTGTAACCGTGGATAGAACCTAATACCTGCTACTAAGTAGGTTGAACGCCCAAGGGGGCAGATTCACCGTTGCTGTTTTGGTTTATTTGGGGCTGTTTCAAAATCCGCTGACCCTTCCTCAAGGGAGCGCTGCAAAAGGGTGGCTAGAGACGCTATAGAATGCTGTGCGCTGCGCATCTCATACTCAATATGTTGAGTATCCTTAGTAAGACATTTTAATTTCAGAGGTCCTGAATGTGCTGAATAAAGTGAATTGAAAAGTGAATTGGAAAGGAAACCCAGCGAAACGTTTAATCTGGAATCGAAGAACATTGTTTCAAAATTCCAGTTTAGCATAGTTTATAAAAGCAGGCTTGCAGCCTTTCCTTACTCAATTCTGTTTATTTCTTAATTAGAAACTAATATAATAGAACGTACAACCCATAGGTCCCGAAATGGTTGAATAAATTGTGTTTACACGTTTACAAATGTGTAAAGACAATTCTATTGGAAAGGAAACCCTATGTAACATTTAATGTCAAAAAAGAATAATCACCACTTAAATTACAATTTAAATAGAAGTTCTGATTAGAGCCTTTCCCTATTAAAGCATATTCAAATTCAGGTAGCAATTGAGTAGAATATAATAAGATGTCAAATATAATTCAGAGAGAATTAATCTAGTGGCTGTAGGATGAGGCGCTGCTGGTATTCCTCGGCGATGCCTGTTGTTTGTTGTCAGTGGATACGTTGTTGTGTGCTAAAGTCACCTGTTCGCACGCTTGCAAAACCGATAATTTGTATAAACGAAAAGCCACGGCTCAGGGCATCCCCCTCTCTCTCTCTCTCTCTCCCTCTCTCTCTCTTTCTCTCTCTGTCTCTCTCTCTCTCTCTCTCTCCTGGCTCTCTCTCTCTCTCTCTCCCTGTCTCTCCTCGCTCTCTCTCTCTCTCTCTCTCTCTCGCTCTCTATATATGAATTGCAGATGTGCGGTCAGACTTCCCCTGCATGAACTTCAGGAGCTTTTTTGGGCATGGATACAGCTTGGTGTGTCAGCTGTACAAAGGCATGCGGTGAGGTTAGCGGCGACGATCGATTGAAGTCAATAATTGGCCTTGCTTCTTGTTTTGCATTGTGCCCACTCGGGCTTGATTCTGATTGCCTGGTGCTCAATTTTGCTGCTGAAAAGGCGTGGTTTGCGTCGAGGCTGGCTTCTCAACCCATGTATGTACCCATGGCGTAGTTTACTAGTGGTTTGATGGCGGCATAAGTATGCGAAGTGAGCCACCAGAAAGCTTCATGCAAGTTTGCCTCAAAAGAAGGACTCATGTAATAGGTGTAGAACCCGTCCATGAGGGGGTCCCCAACTTTGAGAAACCCCTACATGGCCCAGGGCAAAACCGAGGGACACCCGTAGTCAGACTCGCGCACTCCGCACGCAGCGCGGGCAGCGCTTCCTTCTCGGCATCATGGCGCAAGACCTGGCGAGCGCTCGCCGATGCCTTGGTAAGGCCTGGAGACTCGGCGTCACCGGTTCATGTGTATGAGACGCCGCATCCTACCACGAACCAAACTTTACCTTGTCAATTGGTCAATTGGTCAATGAGATTTGTGCAGCTTCAAGACAGTTCAGAGTGCATGATCTTGAACACGCCGTTCAAATGCGACCACATGTCTCATGCGAGCATACACCTACGTTTCACAAATAGAAGCTCTGCGTGTTTTGTTTAGCTCTAGTTCAAAATCACCATAGTACAACGGTGTTTAGCAAATCAAGGACACCACTCCTTTGCTGTGTACAAAAATAGGGGGAGCAGCTAACTTATGTAACTTGCTGCAAGATTCGCTTTAGATTTGTAGGTTTTCGCAACGTCCCACTACTGGCGCCGCTCAGAATCCTAGTTGTTCATCCTGCCCCTCCAAATCATTGATTTCACTCCGGCTCCACAAACAAGTCTTCCCGACCCGTGTGAGAAAAAGCCCGACTCGTCTTGGCAGCCGCTAAAACAAAGGGAACCAAGGAATCTGGAAACGCTTTGGAATCTCTTAATTTGTTGTCTATCGTGCCGGTCTCCATCTAGCCTGATGTGTGTGCAACAAATGTCCGGCTCGCCGCCCCCCCCCCCCCCCCGCATATCCATTTGGGAAGTGATCGAACCCAAGCCTCCACCACCGAGACGCCCAAGAGAAGCGCCTGCGCGCGAAACGTTTCAAGGCTCCCTGTGCCTTTGCCGTACTTTAAGGTGCTGACAAACAGAGCTATGAAAAAGCAGATATGATAGCCTTCTTCCTTCCATGTTTCGCAGAGGGAAGTTCATAGTTCCAAAAACCCAACCGAGCCCTGTTGTGTTTGAACCACGGAAAGGCATCCAAGCAGGGTTCCAAGTTCCAGAAGTTCATTGATTGACCGCGAGATCAAAAGAAACCTCAGCGGCTTTGGCGTTTAGAGCATGCAGGGTGCCAACTTTCAGGGACTGAGGTGACATCCTCAAGCTTGTTTCACGGCTTAAAGAGACTGTCAGGTCCTAAAATGCCCTCAAGATGCTCGCTTTACTTCTCACCCCCTTGTCATGTTAGCGAAACATGTTTTTTCTTTGCCGCACACAAAAACATGCAACAGATCAAACCAAAAGCCGGAAAACTAAAAAACGAAAAGAAAACAACAAGTGTTCAGGACATGCGCGGCTCCAAGAAAACCCATCCAAGCAGGGAAAAGCTGTCTGGGCAAAACTGAGTTGAGCACCCGGCGCTGAAGAGCCCAATACCAATACACAAACCCAATACAAGTTGCCATTGCAGGGCTCAATGGCATCTAACATCCAACAGCTTTCTGGGACCCTAGAAAAAAGACGGAAGGCTTCCAGAGCCATACCTTCAGCGCCAATTTCTTGTCTGGCTTACCCCTCTAGTCAGTTGACTGGAACTCTGACCACTCTCACCACGACACGCGCCACTCTCGCACAGTTTCCCTTCAGGAAAAAGGACTTCCCCCTTCTAAGGGTTTTCGGTGGCTTCCATGTGAGCGTAAGGGACGGTATCAACATTATCTGGGCAACAAATGGCTTTGCTTCTGTCAACCCCGAATGGCCCGCGCCTTCGCAGAGTTCCAACCCCATTCAAACCTTTGGATTCGGAGCAAGCTTTCCCCACGATACATTTGGGATGTCCCAAAAGTAGCAATCCCCTTCCAGTTGGTGGCTTCCTTTTGGGTTTCTGTCTAAAAGCCGATGCAAAAGAGAGTCGACCACAATTCTTCGACAGACCCGGCTGTTCCGATGTCGTCGTTTGTTCTAACTCGCTCATGGCAACCCCGGATAAATAAACCCCCAGTTTACGTACGGGGGTGTCCATGGATTTAGTGGAGATTCATCACGTTTGGAAGGGAACCCCATATGAACAAACAGGGGTTTATTTATCCAGGGTCAACATTACATTAGAATCAACAAACACCAAACAACGCACGTGGACGTTGGACAACCTAGCGCATCCTGCCCACCCACCCCTCCCCACCCCTCCCCTCGCCCGCACCTGTTGAACCTCCGGCGGCCCGAAGACCACCAGCGGCTCCGCGTGCGCGCCGCCCCGCCCCACCAGCGCCGTGGAGAACGCCGGGGCCCCGTAGCTCTCCCGGAAGACCGCCACGGCGGAAGGCCGGCGGCCCACCTAAAACGGAAGGCAACCAGGGGATACCGGGGATACCCCCTAAACGGAAGGCCACGCTGAACCAACCACACTCAACCACAAGACCATGGTACAAGACGGTGTAAAATGTCGGGGTTCCTTGTTCCACTTGCAATATTTAGGGGATCCACCGGACTGGAGATGGCTCCGGGCCAAAACACTCAAGGGGAGGAACCGGCTTGGCCGAAATCTGCTCAAACCCCCGATTCGCGGGCCCCCCTCTGAAGGGAACCATGAGGAGGTTGTTTAAACAACCCCAGTCCATACAAATTGTCGGAAGGCAATTATGAGAGGCAAGAATGTCAAAGAGATGTATGCATTGAAGCAAAGCCCAAACGTAATTGATTTGTTCAAATGGGTGTCTTTTTTGAGGGTTCCATCTAAAAGGAGTTTGCTTCAAAAGGAACACAAAACGGCCCCCGAATCGAATCATCTACTCAACCCTGTGGCAAGGTAATCCCATTTGAGTGGCCCAAACCTCCGTTCATGGCTGAGAACTGGGAACGGCCACTCCCATTCCGCACTCTTTCCAACCAGGGCTCTCATGAAGGCAGGTGGTGAGTGAGTTCTCAGCCCTTGTTGAGCAAGTGTTCAGAAACCTTCCCACTTCCTCCAATCACCAGCCAGCGAAAGTGGAAGCCCCCGCACACGAAACAAGCAAAAGCCCCCGCACGTGGCAGCACCTGCGTTGGTCTTTGCCGCTTGGTGGAAAAAACCGTCGTTTTCAACGTGAAGATCAAAGTCATGTTCAGTCGAACCAAAGGCCAATATATTTCGGTCGAACCAAGGAGACCAATGTGAGCACCATGATCATGACTTCATTTCCTGAAGCAGCCCATAATCCCATTCTAATTGCTGAGGACCTTATATCCCTCTATGGATTTCCATGAGGGGAATTGGGCCTCATTCTCCTGTTAATGTCAAAGACCCCGAAAAAGACAAGGAGAGCCGGGGTCTGTCACCGTGTCCCCGGCCACTGCCACGGCGCAGGAGGTGCCGGTCATGAGCCTCACCTCAGGCGCGAAGTGGGAAAAAACAAGGAATAAGCCCGGTTGGCATCCGCAGCACCCCCTTTCAGGAAAACGAAGGTCCCAAGCAGGTTGGTAAGCGAAAGACTTTGGTACCTGATCACCCCGAATGGGGTGATCTGGGGGGGGTCCGGGGTTGCATGAAATCGCCGGCCTCCCCCCCGGAATTGGTGAGCTCGTGTCTATTTGCCCGACTCTTCCGATAGACCGATAGACTCGGCCTCCTGTAACAGGCGGTCGAAGACCACGGACTCCGGTTCCAGGCGCAGGGCCAGGATCTTGGAGGCCTCGGGTCCGAGAATTTGGGGCGAAAAACGACGCGGAACCTCAAGGGGACACGGTTAAGTTCGAAAAGTTGGGGACACGAGTCGAAGTCATGCTTTCAACATGAGAAGTCAAGATGTTAGGGCGATATCCCACGGGTAGAAGCCGTGCGGGGGGGAAGCCACCACAAGGGATTTTGAGGGAGCCGCTGAATTGGGAGGATATCAACCAAAACCAACTCGGAAAAGCCCGGTTTCAAAGGAAACTCACTGCTTTGTTCCTGTCCAAAAGGTGGTCTTTCAAACTAATGTAGGGAACCCTTCATTTGGAAAACCTCCTGGCTTGAGGATACCCCTTTTTGCAAAAGAACCGAGACGTGCTTCCTCTGGAAACCGGGAACATCTTGAATGGACAACAGCTGGTTTTGGGGGAGTCCTTGCAGCTCTGCAGAAAAGAATGGGGAGCTCCTGCTTCTGAAAACTTGTTTTGGGGGGGGCCCTTGGCGGAGAACTGAGGGGAACAGTTCAAGTCGGAGACAGCTTGGCTTTGTTCGAAGACCCCAAACTGAGAGGCAGGCGTGTTGGGAAAACGGCAAAGAGGGATTTGGACAGCTATTTATTCCAGGATCAACTTTTTCTTGCTGATCTCTATGATTCCTTGGAAGTAAGGGGAACCCCTAGCATCAGGTGAGCACCGAATCGACCCAGTTTGCCAAGGAGAATTCACAAACCCACTTGGGGTGGCCTGCAAATAGCAACCGGGTACAAAAGGCAACTCAAAGATTGTACAGGATTCCAACTAGATGCACCAAACTGAAACTTTATTAGAACTGGCCCTTCCAAAGTCTGATGTTTGTACCCAACAAAACGCCCCGCTTTGGGGATAATGTTGACATTGGATTACTAAATACCACCGATTACTAAGGCGCGTTCTCGGGATCCAATCCCCCTACTTAGTACGGTGCGTTTGGCAAAGCCACTTTTCTGCAGAGAACAATCGATTGATTTCAACTCCAGCCGCCCAGCCCCGTTCAAACTTGCTTTTTGGGCCCCACCTTTTCCCGCAGACAACCTGCTCCGGAACTCGTTCAATCTGAGGCTTGACCGTCTTGAGGGGGGGGGTGGTGTGATTAGTCCGGCATGAACGTTACCCAGGAGAAACCCATGTTGCATTGAAAACTATTCATGGATCCACCCCTGTCTATCCACGGGCGTTTATTTCAGGTGTACTCCACAAATGGCAAAAGGGGTGGTGTTGATTTGCAAACCAAAGGAAACCCACACCGTGTTCTGGCCCTCCTTCCCCCCATTTCGAAACAAACAACAAACAAATGAAGAGCATGACCAAAACCCATGGACTTTTGGATGCTACCAACACAGTTACGAAGGTTTAGGTTTCTCTATATCCCCAGTTGAACCAGATACCGGTAGAACCACCTACTAAAACGGCCAAGAGGAATCGGTTTTGGGCGCTCCAACGGGTGGTGTCCCTTTGCCGAAACGCCAACCGTTGGCTGAGGCGCCGGCGTCGCGGCTTCGGAACCGCATGTCCTTGATGCTGTTGAAGCAATTCACCTCAGAGGCGACGGCCTGGAGCACCGGGGCCCCCAGGGGCCCCCAGAAACCCCCAGTAAATTCAGGACGCATCCGTCCAAGGTAGCAAGGGCTCCTCCAGGTTCCTTCCTCTATATTTATAACTATCCAGTCTTTTCCTGAGCCGGCCTGGCAGCCGACAGTCGGCTTAAGGGCATCTAAGCTCCAACCCACGCGGAAGAACAACTGCCTGAGGGCTCGTGTCTAACTCTTAAATGAACTCTTATAAACACCAAGAGTGTGATGCTAGTTCAGCAGACTCAACGACTTCGCACGGCATGGTTTGCTTTTCAAATGTTCAATCACCCGAAGCTACTAATCTCGAAAGAAAACGGACAGGAAGAGCATTGTCCTCTCGAGGCGAGGTTCCATGCTCGTCGGTGGCAGGGAATCCGAAAGGGGGCAAACCTATTCGTCCCATCTGTCTCAAAGTCAGTAGACCGCCTTAAAACTTGGGGACCTCATGGACACCACAGACTAGCCGCCGGAATTTTCGACCGGACCCAAGAAATGGTCTCGGTAGGTACTTGGCTAGCTTACTGTAGAATGTCCTCTGCTGGCTTTCTTTGACACATTTGTTGGCTCCAGAAATAGGCTTAGGCTTCGGATTCTGTTCAAAGCTAGGCTGGAACCAAATCACCTTTGGGCCGAACCCCCCCCCCCCCCCCCGCCCGAAAATCATCCACCAGGTTGATTGGTACGGGGTTGAAATTACTCCACTGGGCAGCAGAACCTATCAAATTGGCCATTGAGTTGCCAAGTGCTTCGGTGAATGCTTCAACATAATGATGGCTTTTGGTGGGCTCCCTGCTTGACGCATACCCAAACAAGTAAAAAATATCAGTCTGTGCGACACTGTGGGACAAAGGTCACAGAAAGCAAACCCGGGTCCAAGCTCACTCCTTGTCAGCCAACCAGGTAGAATCCAGAGCATGTGTCATGGAGGTTACCACAAAGGGGACCCTTTTGGCCCCCCCCCCCCCAATAAAGTTGGCACAAAACGACACCGAAACAGGTTCCAAAGAAGTCCCGTGAAAACTTGTTCAACGAACGATCTGATAGAAGTTGCTCCCCAAAACATGGAATGGGGAAAGTGGCGTCCTTGCGTGTTGCTTTAGAACACCCTTCAAAAGGAGTCTCAATGGAGTTCTCAACTAGGATGGAGAAGCCCATGGATTGCTCCGGCTCCAAACCTGGAGCGAGAGCCATTGAGGGTGGCATTCGGCCAACTGCTCCGAGCAGTCGCGGGTTCAAAACGCAACCTGCAAGGACCAAGCGTACTCAAAGAGGAGCTCCATGGGATACCGCGAGCATATCTGAGTCTCATTTCCTTTGTCCAGCGTTCGTATTCTGATCATGACGTCTTCAGGCTGAATCACCTGGTTGACCAAACAGTGACCCTCCTTGGGGAAGGAAACTCGGGGCATTTCAACTCGAACCTACAAATTCGGAGGACCATCGACCGGGGCCTCTCCGAGTCTCGCAGGGCCTGTTGAAACATCGACTCATTTTGAGGGACAGCTGCCTTGTTCACAGGCCGTTGGGAGAGATGAAATGGGCCCAAAGCGCGGGCGTGGCACTTCCAGCCAAGGAAGAAGACACCCCAAAAAAAATGCGGCCCGAAATGGCTCGGCGACCAAAACTGGGCCTTAGTCTGGGCCTCCGGCCACCTGCCAGGGATCCCAATCCTCGCCGCTCAGCTGCGCGCGGCAAAGGCTGTCCACCTGGCGGCCCGGCTCGGTTCGATCCTTGGGGCGTTCGCCAGCCGCGCCTTCCGCAGGAAATCGTCCATGTCCAGGGATAGGCCGTACCTAGCAATGTGTCCAACCAAAAAGGAAGCCGCGTATGGCTTAAGGGAAGGTGAGCCGCTTCGGGGGTTCCAGGTAGGTGTTTAGGGTTGATCCCGTTCGAACCTTTCAGTAGAAGGCTGGCCCAAGAGGGCCCCTTTTAACAACTTGCCACCCTTGGCTTGCTCCCGGCAGAATGTGAACCATTCTGGGAGAGAACTTACTAGCCTCTGAAGCTAGCTCCTCTGGAAATGCGGGCGGCGATCCCGAAAGCTGCAGGAACAAAACAAAAGCGCTGCCAGCATCACCAGCATCACCAGCATCACCAGGGTTTGGGGGACGCCTCACGGAAGGGTGCGCACCTCACGATGCGGGAGCAGCCCAAGTTGACAACGCCCAGAGAGCACTTGGCGACTCTATAACAATCGGGGTGTCTCCAAATGGCAAAAAAGCGTGGTTTCTAACCAGCAGGACCTTAATATTACAATGACCACCAGCAAATTGTAGTTGGCCCCCACACCCCAAAAACAAACAACAAGTCCTCTAAACCAACCCCCGACCACCGTCCGCCCCCCCCCATCGGTCGAATTCGTCCGCTCGTTTTCGGCGCACTTCATCTGCAGCTGCTCCTGAACTATATGCCCCACGGCGGCTACGGAGCCCTTGACCTAGGCAGAGCGGAATCCGCGGTTGTTGTGTGTCGTGAGTTTGCCGGTTTTGACGAAGGGGAAAATATGTTGGGTTCGGTTATGAGACTTTCTGGCAGTTTCAAGTATTGGTTCAGAAATATGTTACTTGTATGAGTGCTAGATACTGCCCTACACATCGGAGCCCAAAACCTGAAATCAAGGCGGATCCTTTCATGTACCCTGGTCAAAGGGTACATTTGATATATAGCCAAACAGAGGGGTGCGCTAGCAAATTCCCAGGGGCCCTCAATTACCTCTAGGAAGATAGACCCCGTCTTTTGCCCGACGTTGCTTTCCTGAAAGCTGAAAACCGATGAAATCCTACCCTTGGACCTCAAGGAGCCACCAGCAGCACCAGCAATCCCAAGGGGGCGACCCTTTTGCTGGGCTCCGCTACCCCTAGAGCACATCAACATGGGTGCAACTTCTGTAGGCTAACCGTGCGAGCGCGATAGCGACAACGTTCGGCCAGAATGACACCAGTTCTTTCTTTCAGATAGCACCCCTTCCTCGAGGCTGGGTGATCCTTAAATAAACTCTAAATAAAACCCTTCAAAAAAGGACCAGCCGGCAACGACTTGTTCTCTATGGTATCTCTCCTTTACATGGACTCTTGCTGTCAGGCGAAAAGCATGCTTCGCTGCACTCTGCTAGGGCAAGCTTGGCTCATGCAAACGGCCACCAGATTTCCACGCTCATCGCCGGCTTGGGGAACCCGAACCAATGAAACAGGGATGTTGTCAATGAAATAGATTGCAAAACCCCCGGCCCAGATCCAAGTGGAAAGCGACAAAAATATCAAGCGAGGGGTGCTTTCTTCTGAAAGTGATCGAGATCTCCTCTCCAAACCTCTCAAACAAGAACTCAGCCAGGCTATGAAGCCTGGGTTAGGTGTTCCCCATGCAGGTTCCGTTTAGGGCTGCCTCTTTTCGGAGGAAGTGCTGTTCGGAAGTGCCGCTCGCTTGTTTTTCTTCCAACACCAGAAGAAACCCGGGGCCCGTAACCCGGGCGCCCCACCCCTTGCGGCGGAAGAGGCAAAGACCTGCGAGCTTTCCCAGGATCAAACGTCACACTTCCCCTGGGCTGTCCTCAGATTCCCCGCTTAAAGTTTAACGTTTTTGGTGGGTTAAATGGAAATCCCCACCAAACGCCAAAAAGCGAAAAAAGCCAAGGGGATGGCTGGGAACCACCAAGCCAAATGGACACTTTTGCTAAAGGGAAAACGTGAAGGGTCGGGTCCCAAGGTACTTTAAATGAGAAAACCTCAAAAGTGAACATGGTAAGGTCTCAGCATTCTTGCACAACAAGACCCAAAAATGTCCCAAGTCCTTTGGGGGAAACAAGCATGTTTGTCGTAGACTCGATTGGTGGACGTCATTACACAAAATGAATGTCTTTTTACGAAGCCCCATCAAAAACAGTCTCGATTGAAATGGCCCAAAAGACGTTGATTCAAACCCCCAAGCGGGAATATATGGGATGCTCTGGTCAGCCAGGATTCCCATTAAGTAAGCCCCAAGGTAGACACAGGAGTTCAGATCCGCAAAGGCGAAACCAAATCCTTTGATTGCTCAAACATGGAGCCCAAGGGTCAACTGCATGATGGAAGCATGCATCTTTCAAGCAAAACATCTCGGCAGGTCCATCGGATCGCCTGCGCGACTCCTCAACCTGCCGCGCGGGGGACATGTCAAGCACTTGCACCAGTCGGGGCAGACTAGTACTCGCAACACAAAACGGAAATGGGGAGGCTGTCATTTGGGGCGCACCGCCTACGAACCAATCAGGATCTCTGGGCGGGCTTAAGGGGGGTTGTGACCAGTGTGGGTTGTCTTTCTGCAAGTTCCTCTACTTAACACGCTCGAAGAAGGAATTGCAAAGCAAGGGGGCCTTCATTATGGGTGAAATCGGTCGTGCAGCCAAATGGGCACAAGCTTGATGGTTGTAGATAGGTTACACAAGTAGCCGGAAAGCTAAGCCAGTGCTTCCAAGCTTCTAAGGGCAAGCAAACATATTCGCCTTTCAGACTTTGCAAAAGCAACACTATTCACCGTCATCTACTACAGTAAAGGGATGACATGGCCTGCACTCACCAAATGACCACTCGAACATGGGAAGCTTACAAGCTCAAACAAAGGGCGTGATGGCTTTCACTACGGTGGCTTCGGATCTTCGGATGTTGGGTGGGAAAGCTACGCAAGGCTCGAGGACTGCCTACATCCCGAGGTCTTGGACCGGCTCGGACGCAAAAACCATCTGATGACCCCTGCCTTGACAAACCTCCCAACGGCCAAGCGGAATTTTGGAACAGGACTTTTCGCAAAGAGGGCAAAAAGGTGGAGCGCCATTTTCTCAGCGGGAAACAGGGGCATGAGCTTTATTGGCCAGAGGGTTTGGTGGATATGAGTTATGCCGATTCCCATCCGCTTGGGTAACCGCTAAACTTGAGAGGCGCACAGTATGTGTTGTTCCCCAAGAGGCGTTTTGTGGGAACTTGTGGTCGTCCCCCCATGTCCCCGCCCAACCCACAGTGCACTAGCTCGAGCTTTCTCAGTTGCCCACGTTCCGTGTCTTGGGGGTCTTCATGAGCCTTCCTGCTGTGAACTTCATTTTGGGGGGGTTGCGATTGTGGGGGCTCGGATCGGATCGGGATCGGCCCAAAAAACCGCCTCGACAACATTCGCACCCGGGCCTGCACCTGCCTCGAGCGCTCCGGCGGCTCCTGGAAAAGGGCAAACCATTTGTAGGTACTCCGCGCCTGAATTGTCACACACACACACACGCGCACACGCACATGACTGTCCCAGCGGTGATTTCCCCTCACCCCAAAATCCCATATTTGCTTAGGCCGTTACGGTTCCCAACCAAAGATGAGCCCTCAACATCTAACCAAACCTCGAGCTCTCGTCACCGACGCCGCTTCCGTGCCTCGGGTCTGGAGGCTGTGGGCCCATAGTGGCCTGGCAGTGACAACGCGCCTACCTGCCCCCCGCATCACCCAGCTCGGGGCCAACAGAAACCTGCGAGTCATCCAAACGAACAAGTCTGACAAAAAGAGACCCACGTAAAAGTCGAATGATACTGGAGTCATCCAAAAAGGTGGATGTTTCAAATGAAAGTCGAGTGATGCTGAATCACAAAAACCAAAGATGCTTCAATCGCCAATGGTCGATGCCCAAGCCCCAGGGTTCAGCTCACCTTCCCATATGCTCTTTGGGTGTTCCCCCCACTTCCTCAAAGGCAAAGTCCGCCAAAACGCTCCTATCAGCTTTCCACGACCAAATGAACGAAGTATTCACCCCAAACATGCGCCTGGCACGGGCGCAAAACAGTCTTCAAGACTACCAAGTTCTTTCTTGTCCAATCTCATCCTCCCTTTCCACTCAAAATCTAGTCGATTCTGCGCAGCCACTAGCGGCCCCAGGCCTAAGCCGACCGAGATGGAGCCGTGCTCCTCTGCCACGGGCAAGGCCTCCCTCTCCTGGCCCATAAAACAAACTCGGACGGGGTCCGCGTGGCTCTTTTCAGGAGACACTTGGAAAATCGTTTGGTGACTGGATCGCCAGTTTCCGTTCTCCTGTTTCCCAAGCAACTGTTGGCTAAGTGATTTCCCAATTTCTAGGGGTCTGAAGGTCCAGGAGGCTGGGGTGAGGCAGCCTAAACCAAATTGTAAAAGGATTGACAGCTCTCGGGACATCCATTGGATGTTGCCAACAAACAACTGATGCTCAGTTTCCATTCAAGGAATACGTGGTTGCAAATATCTGGAGGCAGAAGTGAAACATGGGCGAGAAATACATCACCAAAAAAGCAGAAACTGTCGCCATGCGAGCCATGGTCAAAGCTCCTTGTGTCTGATGACCATGGCTCCCTTAATAGGAACCTTACAATGGTTTTCTTAAGTTTCCTTCTGAGGGGCCACGACTACCTCCACTACAGCCATCCGCGTTCAAACGGCGTCTCCTTCCTCAGCGCCTCGAAGCAGAACATCGATCGCCCTTCCCACGTCCCGCACGTTGCACCGTGCCAAGAGTATGACCTCCCGTCAACAGGGATGCTGCCAGGCTGGACCAAGCACATGCCAACGCTGTGCATCCTTGTCCACGGACAGAATGCGAGATGGCCTCCAAGAGGAAGGAATTTCCAGAGCCACCCGGACCTCCATCTTGCAATATTTGCATACGTTTGCCCTTTGATCAACTCGGACTGAACATCTCCAAATGTGAAGTGAAAAAGAAAAAAAACATGGAGCCTCGTGGCTCTAAGCAAACAATCCAACCTCTTGCCAACAATCATGGGGGTGGACAGCAGGGCTTTTCAAGAGCACAGTAGTCATCCCGGGCCAGTCTTCGCACGATGGGCTGCACAAAGGGCTGGATAAGAGACTCTCCAGGAAGTAAGGGCTAATTTAAGGGAGCTGAAACATTACTAAGAGTTTACTCCTATAATTATGACTAAATCTGATCTTCAAGTGCACACAAGTCATGTAGGCCCTTGTGGTAGGCAAAGGGGTCCAACAAAAAATTGAACCCAACTCGGCTAGCCGACTTTGCTCCAGTGAATTTTCGAGGTATCCTCAACCATCATAAACCCGCTGAAACCTAAACCACATGCCCTTTGATCGCTTGGGTCAAGCCATGGCCACCCATTTTGGCATCAAAAAACTCAAGCCCTTGGCTTCAAGCCCTTGGCTTGAGATGCGACTCTGACCACGTCACTTGAGATCGGTGCTCCAAAGACCTCGTGGTAGAAAGTCGGGTCACCAGCAAACAGGAGCCTGTTCAGCCCGCGCAACTGGCACCCTTGATTTGTTGGTGCAACTGGTGCGCCTCCCTGTGAGACCAAACTTGAGTACTGGAACAAACCGCCAAGCTGTTGCGAAACGGATTTTGCCCATCAGCAGTATCCCTACTCCAACATCCCTATGTTTTTCTTCTGACACACCCCTGGCCTGAGAAACCCAGACACTTCTCTCTGGAGCGCCACCTTCAGAGACTGGACATTGCCCAGCCAAATCGTGTGCCGATATAAGCATTTCCGGAACTTCCGGCATTTCGGTGCCCAAAAGGTGGAATCTCTGCACAACTTGCCCACAGAAAGTCCTTTGAAAAAGACGATGTTAACACTACCCGAGCCGCAACAAAGAAAACCTGGTATTGGAGGAGTCCACCCAAAGCAATATGAAGAATTCAGGAAGGCGGCCGCACTTCAATCTGGTTCCCCTGAATTGGTGGTCTTGGTTTGGAGGATTGAAATCCAGGTTCCTGAAGAGGGTAAATAGAAACCACTGAGCCTCCAAGCCACCAAACCACCGTCCGAAGGGAACCTGATTCAGCCCGAGTTTTCATTGCACCGGGAAACGGCCCCCAAAAAACACGCCGGCCGTAGGCGACAGTGGCCTCCGGCTTTCGCAGCAGGGCGGGGCGCGGGGGGCGCAGCGGGCGCGCGGTCTCGCCCTGCCAACAGGGCCTTTTGGATCAAAACCCCGTCTTTGCGCAAAACGGCACTCCCAAATCCGGCCCCCGCTCATTTCGAGATATAGATGGCACTGGTAAATAATGGGAGCCGGAAAAAAGCAAGTGCAATCTGTGTTCAAGCAAGCTAACCTGAAACCTTTGGTTCTTGCGGGGGTAGATGCGGGGATAAGGACGGGGTCGCGTCGCAAAAGGGAAGTGTGCGCAAAACTGGACGTTGCCATA